AGCCCCTAATAAAATGTTTTAAAAAAATATTTTTTGACTGCTGATTCCACTGACTGATGACACGGCTCAACACATGCAACCATTTTTCTTGTTGACTTGGATTTTCAGCCTGTTCCTGGGGTCACCTGGAGTGCTGATTCAGAAAATCATACTGGGTAGACCACAACAGCTCTAGTTTCTGAAATATGTTTCCTATATTGTCAGCTATTAAGTTATACCACTTTATTAATTTATCTTCCTAGCTTTAAATGTGAGAAGAATCCAGACCCACAAATTACAGGGTAAGAAAAGAAAAAGGTAAATATTCCAAAAAGAAACAGGACAGGGCAGGCCTCAGTTCCAGACATGACATCCTCTCCCTAGGTGACAGCACGACAGAGGGCAGCGCTCTGGATGCAGTTCAGGGAGAGTGGTCTGTCTGACCCGCCCACATGGGGGCAAACCAAGAGGGGAGAGCAAAAGACCAGTGATGGGAGCCATGAAGTCCCCGAGGAATCCCAACTGTAGACTTCTGACTTGGGGGTTGGGGTTCTGACTGACAGCACTTGGCACCTCATCTGAACTGGGGGTTACTGACAAGGGGACTACACTGAAAGTCTAAAGGTGTGATGAGGAAGAGGGTCACTAGACTGCTCCATCCCTGACTGCAGAAATAGCAATGGGAATTTTTAGGATGCGTGCCTTGCGGACACGATTGCTGGAGACTAAAAGGGCCTATGTGTTATTAGATAAGTGGGTCTGGGATATGGAACCCTGAAAGAAAGGGGGACTGGACTGATGGATGATAACATGTCCTTCTATTTAACAGAGAGCTATTCATTACTCTGTGTCTGGATCCCTGTTAGACTTGGGACTATTTGGATGGTCTTTCTTTTTTCTTAGTGTTTATCTATACAAGATAGGCAGGATAGGCAACCCCACAGAGACAGTGATGGGACCTACGGTTGTGGGGGAGGCATGGGAGGGGTGGAGGCGAATGTAGCCAGAGTTGGACATTGACAAAGCACCCCTATTTATTAGAAAAAAAGTTAATTCCAAGAGACCTACAAAGACAAGGAAGTGCAATTATATAGGAAAGACCAAAGGAGACAGATGTGAATGAAGTTGTTGATGTGATAGGGCTCTCATTGCTTACCCTGGTACCTGGGTGTTCTGGTGATCCTGCGTCAACTTCATTCCCAGCTGGCACATTCTCCCTGGAGTTGGTGTCAATTTCATTCCGTGCTATGCCAGTTCCCTTTTACTGAAAGACTAGCTTTTCATTATGTCCTGCCTACTTGGTCTCCATGATCTTTGCTTTGGACAACTGGTGTTCCTGTTTTGTTCATGCCCTGATCACATGTTTACTTATTAGGTAATCTAGCTTTGGGTAAATGGGGCAATGATGTGTAAGCTCATTATGAGTTGGAATCAACTTGATGGCACTTAATGACAACTAGTAGGACAACTGTTCCAGGGTTTGGAGAAAAACGAGCCATATTTAAAGTTAATGGGAAGAAGTGCTTCAGAGAGTGTTTGATTTTTAAAATTTTTAATTAAAAATAATTTTATTGGGGGCTCTTATAGCTCTTATCACAATCCATCCATCCATTGTGTCAAGCACATTTGGGAGTGTTTTATCCCAGTTAAAGGACAGTTCAGCCACATTGTTGCTGTGCCCATCTCCCCACCCAAAACAAATATGGTAGTACAGATGATGTTCTATTAATTGGAAGAAGGAACCAGAGAACACCCTGTTTGGGGATGTCTAAATTAAATCTGTCAAACAAAGGAATCGTGGATTCGGAAACTGGTCTTGCAACCACGTTTCCTGGGATGGGGCACAGAGATCTCAAAGTCAACACTTCCAAAACCGAAGTCATGACCTTCCCCTCCCACTTCCTAACTTCCTTCATATATTCAACCAGTATCTGAGTGCCATTTAGAGCTAGCCTGCGCTTAGTTCCGGAAATATCCCCAATAGCAGAAAAGGCATGGGTCCTGCTCTTAGAGAGCTTACGGCAGCACGAGGGAGACAATCATATAATCAGAAAGCACTGGTGGCACAGTGGATAAAGTACTCGACTGCTAGCGGTTTAAATTTACCAGAAAGCTGTGGTAGTCTGCTTCCGTAAAGATTACAGGCTGGGAAACCCTATGGGACTATTCTACTGTCACACTAGGTCACAGTGGGTGAAAAAAAATCAACTCAGTCATACTTAACACCAACAAAAGCATCATATAATTTTAAATTAAATGATTAATTATGCTAGGAGCGGTGGTGGCTTAGTGGTTAAGTGTTGGGCTGCTAACTGCAAGGTCAGCAATTTTATAGATCCTTGGAAGACAGGGCTTTTTAAGGTCGGTTGTAAAGAGTTAGCATTCAGAAACTCACAGGGGCAGGTCTAACCTGACTTTGAGGGTCGCTGTGAGTTGGCATGCACGTGATGGCAGTGAGGGTAGTTTTGGCTATATGCTAATGCTGGGGACCTGGATGGTATGACACATTAGGAGGCCTGTGCCTGTAAAGATTTATAGCCTCTGAAAATCCAAGCAACAATGAGTTTTACCCTGTCCTGTAGGGTTGTTATGAGTTGGAGCCAATTCAAAGGCAGGGAGTTTCGTGAGGTTATGATAGTGCCAGAAGACCCTGGGTGGCATGGTTGGGTGCTGGGCTACTACTTGAAAGGTTAGTAGTTGGAACTTACCTAGAAGCCCCTCTGAAGACAGTCATCTGCTTCCAAAGGTCTGTGGTTTGAACCCACCAACTGCTCCTCGGGAGAAAGATGAGATTGTCTACTGTAAAGATTTAAGGTCTCGGAAACCCCAAGGGTCAGTTGTGCTCTGTTCTAGGAATCCGTATGCACTCAATGGCAATGAGTGTGTTTTTGTTTTTTAACAACATAAAGCTACGTAGCAAAGATGCTCACTGCTATAAATCTTTAGGTATACTACTACTGATCTTTATGGGCTATTGCAGTGAATAAACAATATGAGTTATTATAAAACATCTTGAGAATAAAACTTTGAAACAGAAAGTACCATTTAGGGACACAATCTACTACTAAAACCCGAATCTCTAGAATTTGGTGAACTTCTGTTAAATTCACCAAATTTTGCGATAATGTTGACTTTTAAATTAAACCCCAACGTGGGTATTGGGCATGGTATGTAACAAGTGAGGACCCCCACCCTCTGAAGTGCGGCTACTTCTGGCTTGTAACAGCTGTCCCACCTCAGACCTTGACACTCTAGACCAGTGGTTCTCAGCCTTCCTGATGCCGAGACCCTTTCATACAGCTCCTCATGTGGTGGTGACCCCCCAACCATCAAATTATCTTCGCTGCTACTTCATCCCTGTTTTGGATACTACTGTTATGAAGGGCGACCCCTGTGAATGGGCTCCAGACCATAAGAGCTGAGCTTCCTGTACCCAGTTAAGTAGTCCAGCTCTATTTCGAGTCATGTTTCTGGGGTCTTGCAAATATACCTACACTGCAAGTTTTTTGCTTTTCAGCGTTTTCTCCACTTGGTTCTGGCAATTTTCTCACTTAAGAAATCCTTTCTCTCCGCTCCCCTCCTCCCGCTATTATTTATCAGAATGAACTACCTGGCCCCTTCTGAAGAGCTGGAGGAAGGAAAGAGAGCGCGCACACTCATTCTGTGGAGAAGGGAGATGGTCTTAATCATTTATTTGGGGAGACAACCTTCCAACAAGTGTCCAGTCCGGATTCCCTTTCTCCGGCGGCACCTGGATGACGCCAATGGAGCCGAGAGGGCCGGAGAACCTGCTCGCCGCTCTCCCTCCACCCCTTTGCTCCCTCCTCCGCCCCAATAAATAAATACATATCTATAAAAATAAAGGCCGGGGTCCGAACTCATCCCGGCAGCCAGAGACCCGGCGGGCGCCGAGGGCGGACGGCGAGCCGGCAGCCACTTGGATTGTTGCGTGCCTGCAACTTCACGGAGCGCGGCGCTCCGAGGGAGCGACGGGGGACTCCGCCCACCCCCGTGGGTCCCCGCGCGGGAAGGAGCTGCGGCGCGAGAGGGCGCAGCCTCCCACTTTCGGGGACCAGCC